GAGACAAGGGAAGGTTGCCCCACGCCTACCTGCCCTTTACAGCCCACCCATCCCAGCTCACCTCCAGGATGACATGTCCTCACACATTGCTCCATGTGTAGGAGCCAGCAGCAGACGGCGGCAAAGCTTCAGCGCCGGCAGTCCCGGCACGAGGCTGAGCCGCTTGAAGCCACCCGACACAAGAGCAGGACGTGGCGGCTCAGCACTGCACCTTGGTTCAGCTGGAAACCAGGCTTCGCACTCGGCAAATCTCCCCTTGCATGGCAGCAAAAAAAGAGTAGCTTGCTAGCTGCTTTCCTGGCGGGAGGGCGAGAGGAGGAAGCCTGAATTTTAGTAAAGCTCCTATGAACGCAGGGACCAGGGCAGGATCCAGTCTCAGCCTTGGGCATCTCCGTGCTGCAAACCCACACGTTGGGCTGGCGAGATGTGTCTCTCCTGGGGTGCTGGTTGGGCTTTGCCTGCTCACACTGGGCTCCTTTCAACCCCCAGATCAAAACCATAAATAACAGAAGCATACTCTTCCCTCCATGCCATCGTCCATCACTGGTGAACAAAGGTAGGAGCTAGAAACCAGCAGCACGGAGAAATGGCTATTTTGTTCTTGCACAGTCATGGCTGGACCGTGCTGGGTGGACACAGAGAGGAGGTGAAGCCACGTAAAGCTGCGCTGCAGTGGCACTAAGAGCACCCGTGGAGGGGTGAGAGCCTTGGTGTCCCATGGAGCCAGGGCTCCAGCTCTGCCCCCCCCAAACCACTCTGGCCCCACCAGGTGGGAGGGAAGGACCTGAGATGGGTCTCCTGTAGGTCAGCAAATGCCAGGGGAGAGACTTGGAGGCCTTTGGAGGGAGGAGAGAGGTTATGGGGGAAACAACGGGAGAGGTGAACCAGTTGAATGCACCTTTGCTCAAAAGTCAGAAAGGTGCCTCCACCCTCTGTCCCTGGGGACCGCTTTGGGGTGACTCTGCTCTCTCTCTGCCAGCAGACAAAAGATGGGGCATGCCGAGCAACGGGGCTTTGAAAACCTGGGGACTGTGCTCTGTCCCGCTGGTGGCCTCATGCCCAGCCAGGACCCGTGACTGATGCTGGGGAGGGAGATGGGAATGAACGAGGCCAGTATCTGACGCACTTCCTCAGCCCTGTCTCCACCAGCCTCCAGCACCGGTGGCCGTGCAGGGGACGCGAGTCACTGGGGCTGGCTCATTTCTGCCGCTGTTTCTCTGCTCTGTCCCATCTCCTTGGGCAATGCTACATCAAGATGAGTCTGGACCTACTCACCACGGACGTCAGCAAGTTGGCCAAAGTTGGAGACAAGCTCTGCAGCCCTCGTTCCCCAGCTCCTAACCCACAAGGAAGGTACATGGCTGCCGTCCCCGGGAAGCAGCACTCACCCTCACCCCAAAGAAGCAAGAGGGTCCTGGCTGGGCTGGACTTGGGGGACAGAAATGCAGCCGTCTGCATTTATTTTGCCTAACAACAGTGATCTCTCTGTATATTTTCATTCTGTTTTCCTAGGCTCAGCTGCCTCCTCAATGAAATGTTTCCAAAGCAGCCTAACTTGGCGGCATGCCAGCCCCGGCTGCCAGATGAATGGGCGGAGGAGGAGGGACCCATTCCTCTTCTTGACACAGCATCGCTGCACAAGAGGCCTCTATTGACATTAGGACTGGCTGTTCCCCCTCTCCTGAGAGGCTCTGCCTGGCCCTCGGCAGGAGCAGCACACAGGGCCAAGGCAGCAGGCTGCATGTGATGCAGGACTGGGGTCTGTCCTCCTCTGGAGCGGTGGCACAGCCATGGACACCAGGGTACCACGGTGCATCCTCCTCCGGGGCGGTGGCACTGCCACAGGTACCAGGGTACCACGGTGCATCCTCCTCCGGGGCAGCGGCACAGCCATGGATGCCAGGGTTCCGCGGCGCAGCACTGCCAGGGCCTGAAGTCAGCCCTAGTTTCTTGCCCTGGACCGTCCCCTGCTGAGCCAGCCCCCCTGACAGCTGAGCACTCCTTGGAGCTCTCTGACTCCTACTAACAGCATTACTCCCCCAGACATCAGCAATGTGAAGAGCCTGTTAACTCCCCCAAAATACCTCTCCTCCAGCCCACTCGGAGCAAAGCTCTCCCTCAGCACCGCCAGAGTGTGGACACCGACACAGGTTTTGAAGAGCTCCAGGTCTCCCAGCACTTCTCAGGGGGGACTGAAGCCATGGGAGCCCTAAGCACAGCACCCCCAAACCCTTCAGGCCTTTAGACAATAACATATGGAGCAGCGTCGGCTTCACCCTAAACCCTGGCCGTTGCTCAGGACTTCACCCAAACAGTGTCACAGCTCTTTCCCATGCCTCAATTTCTCTACCCAAAGCAAAATACCAAAACAAGTCTTCAGGGCTGGAAATTCATCTGCTGGGAGGTAGCCAAATGGTAGCAGTGCAGCACAGTGCCACTGGACTACCCCCCCAGCACCAGACATGATCCCTCTATCTACCACTGCTAATTGCAGATCTGGTTGTCAGCAAGGGAATGCAAATCTCTGTGTGCCCCACTCATCACAATGTCACCTACTTGCCAGGGACACCTTTAGGAGCTGTGCAAGGAAAAGATATGGAATTTAATGAAAGAGCTGAGGAAGCATCAGAAGAAAAAAGAAAGAGATAAAAGTCATCAGCAATCATCCAGTCTGCACCTCTCCCCCCTGGCCGGCTCCCCTGGCATCTCCTGCTGGTGGCAAGCACCCAGCTGCTGCAAGCCGAGGACCGGAGGCTGGGTCAGAGCAGCACCCAGCAGCACGCCGCAGAGACGCAGACTGCTCCCACCAGCCATGGTGGGGAGAGGGCTCTGCCCAGATCTGGTGGAAAAGAGGCCAACCACGCATCGATAAGATGAATTAGTTGTCTCAGCAGCACCGGCAAAATGAGCGAGAGGACTGGAGCCCGTGACGTTCTGCTTTGTTTCAATTACAGCAGCTGCCAGAAGAAAAAGATAACCTCAATATTGATGGCAGGAGCAGCAGACAGAGGTGCCCTTGTGGGCTGCTGGGAGCAGGTAGAGGAGGAAGGGGGAGGAGGAGGAGGAGGGAAGGAGCAAGAGAGATGGAGGAGGGGGAGCAGGGTCTCAGCCAGTGCCCCGGTGGGAGAGCCTGGCTGGCTTCTGTGGGCTGGTGAGAAAGACCCACCTGATTCTGTTGCCCTCATCCCCACGAGGAACAGCTCCTCTTCACCCCGGCTCTTGCCCCAGTCGTTGGGCAGAACAACACCCTGCAGAGACAGGGCGGAGGGGTGCAGCCTCCCAGGACGTAGGGCAGAAACTCAGCTCAGAGCATCATCAGCAGGACACAGCATGGCGCCGCATAATGCTGAGCAGAAAAATCATCTCTTTGCTCCCCACTCAGGCTGTGGGTCTGGGAGAGGAGATGAAGAGTTCAGGGGAGGCATTGAGTGGGGCTGTGTGGGATGATGGATGGAGCTGGAGTGAAGGGCTATGGGGCTGAGACAGGCATGGGGGCAGCCTGGGGTGCAGGCAGGCACAGCTGCATGCCAGGAATGCAGCACACAGCTGCTTGAGGGCTGGGCAGCCCCCAACGCTGTGTGTGCGATGGGGACCAGGTTGGGCACTGGGGACAAGATGCCCAAGATGACCTTGGACTGAATGTGGGAACTTCAGCCCCATGACAGCAGCTCAGGGCAGGCACCCCAACACCACACCTACAAGCCAGAGGTTGAGGTGCTGAGCCAAACTTCCACCTGGCAGTGCCGGGTTAATGCCCTGCCCTGGGGGGAACTAAGCCCTGGGTTCACATCCTGGCAGGAGGTAACCAGAAGGTTTGAAGAGATGGGGTGTCTTCAGTCCTCAACTCCTTTACCACCCAGTCTCTGAATAGGGGAATTCTTTATGGGGTTCACATCCAGCCCCAAGTCGAGAGAAATGCCCAGGACCCGCCCAGTGCTGAGCGAGCCTCCCACCCTCTCTGTGGAAGGGGGCCCACCAGAGGCCAGGCTGAGCAGGCTTCGCTTCACAGAGGTTTTATTCGTACTCTGGATATCTGCATCGCCCTTCGATCTCGCTTCTCCCCCAGGAGAGACCCCAGGATCCTCACCCCCACCCTGCCAGGGCCCTGTATCCTGTGAGCCCTGGATACAGCCCCTAGGTCTTCAAGAGGGGACAAGGCCACCATCTTGCGGCCACCCATCACCACTGCACATACCCGTGTGCAAGGCCTGGAGGGTCCCCAGGATGTGACAGCTATGGGGGTACAGGGTTTAGACCATGGGGAGCTGCGACCTCCCACCTCCCCTAGTGTCCCCATCCCCTGGGATAACGTCCTGCGGGGCACACGTTGTCCCTCCCCTCGCTCCCTGGCCAGGACACCCAGGGGTGCCAGGACAGGCAGAGCATGCTGGCAGTGCTGCTCCCGTCCCAGTTCTGGCCCCTCCACCCCTGTCCTGCTGCTCCGTGCAGTGTCAGCCAGCAGTGACCGGGGACCTCCCGGTTTGCACGGCGGGCTTCATTGAGCACGGAAAGGCAGGCGGCGGCAGAGGAAGGCTCAGAACCGAGCCCTGGGGCTGAAAATGCAGCACCTCGGGGGGTCTGAGGGGGATTTTCACCCCTGGTCACAGCATGGGAGTATGACCCGCATGGGGGATGCTGGCGGGGGTTGTTATACCAATGCTGCTGGTGACCAGCAGCCCAAAGCGAGTCCTTTCGTGCCTCTTGGAAGCAAGTTGGCGTGGTCTGCACACTACTGGATTATTCTGCAAGGCTGCCCAGCGTGGCTTAGTGCTCATCTCCCTCCTTCTGCTTCTTCCCCTCGTGATGGGGCTGGCCGTGGTCTCCGTGGTGGCGGTGAGCATGGGTGGCAGGTTCGTGGTCCCCACTCGGGTCTGTGGCTCTCTCGCTGCTGACTTCGTGGTGGTGGTGAGGATGGAGGGGGTTGTGCTGGTGGATGGGGGTCTCTGACTCCTTCCCCTCTTGGTTGGGAAGCGGGCTCAGGGTTACAGGGACCTCCATGGTACTGTTAGCCTGGGGAAAGTAACACAAGGGCTGGTGCAGTATATGAATGCACACATGGCCCTGCAGTGAGCGTGCGAGCATGCCTGTGAGCTGGAATGAAAGCAGGCCAGCATCTGTCATGCCGAAAGCTGCATGAGCAAAGGCTCTCCAGCCCCGACCCAGGGCACAGGGAGAACAGGAGAGACTGGAGCACATAGAGCACAAGCCTCTGTACCCACATCCCTTGGCTCAAGCTGTCTGTGGCCCAGAGCCAGGAAAGGCACTTTGTATTTAATATTTCTAGATGGATTTTTCTCCTAGGAAATGACTAATCGCCTGCCGAGCCTGGAGCTACGTCCTTTTCTTTGCTCTGAGCTTGTGACCTCTGGGTCCACTGCCTGCCCTTCTTACATCAGAACAGCCAGTGACCCTAGTTAGCTTTTCCAGACCTGGGCTATGACCCCTTTAGTTCGTTCCTTCTCAGCCTGAAAGCTCTGACCTATTTAACTGCCCTTATTCCAGTCCTTTCATCACCTTCCCTCCCAATCACGGACAATGTCAGCTGCCAACCCAGAGCCTGTCCCCGACATGAAGATAAGGTTGGTGTTTTCCTGATGTGCAATGCCAGAGGAGAGAAGGGAGCCTGGCTCCAGCGAGCATCCCTGCTCCTTACCTCCTGGGTGGTGTTGGGGTAGAGGGAGCAGTTGCCGCAGAAGTCCTTGCTGTGGGTGAAGCGGATGGCCGACTCCACGTAGGGGAAGTGGAGGAAGCTGTAGGGCAGCTGGATGTGGAACGCCAGGCGGCCACACCTGCGGGGAGAAGCCGTGGCCTGGCTCAAGGCGGGGGGTCTGGGGTCTCCCCGGCCCAGCCATGGGGGGAGCTTTGGGAAGCCCACCAAATGCTCTGTAACCCCCTAGGAAAGCCTCAGCCGAGATGGGGGATGCTCACCGGTCATAGACGAGGAAGTCATCTTTGTCCCCCCCCAGGACCTGCCAGACATCAGGCTCCTCCGGCTCCGGCTGGAAGACGGGGACGCCTGGTGGGGCCTGGCGCT